ATATCCTTATTTTATCTAAATTCTTTACTTTAAAATACCATATTAGTTATAAACAGTTTTTTTCTGATTCCTTGCATTTGTGGTATAATACCAGGCTTCAAATTGGATAATCCAGTAAAAATACTGTAAGGCATTGCCGACATTGAAAGAAAGCTCTCTCTCAGTTTCATTTCATTATACTATTATTTCACTATCATATTACTTCTATTTCTTTTTAATGTGACATCTACATAGCTGATTGAGTATGCAGTTTATTATGACACACAAGGATTTTCCATAGTCTCTCACTAATAGATTTGTGTTTTTATGAGGACATTTAGCATTTTTGCATATTGTGTAATTATGAAAAAAGTTATACATTTTATAAATATATGTAGCTTTTTAAATCAGAATTTAAAAACCTCTGTGTTCAAGAATCTTCACTTAGTCATGAAAAAGATATCAGACTGCTCAATAACATAGCAAGTAAAATTCACATCATCATTGAAAATGTCAGTATTGAAGACAAAAAGTTGTTGCTTATCTATTCAGGATATTTCATGGTCTGCAACTATTAGTGAACTGAAAAGCTGCATTGGTTTGAAAACTTTAATGAGTTTATATGTAAAACATAATAAATTACAATTTTTAAAACTTTTAAAGTCTATTGTGGAATAAAAATAAACAATTCAGGTTTATGGTACTTGCACTTTTTTTTCTGTGATTGGAAAGTAGCTATAGGTTAAATCAAATAAATTTTGGTAATTTTTTTTCATTAGTGCTTTCATGTTGGCCATTGTTTCTCATTCTCTTCAGCCTTTGTTTATCTGTTGTTGTTATTGAAGATTTGCATCTATTTATTAACATATTCAAGCAGCTGAATAGCACTAAAACTCTATGAGTTATTGAAGGAGAAAGAGCCAAAAAATTTTTTCTCCACCCTACTGTCATACCAAGATGAGTATCTCATAATTGCCATATTTCAGTTGACTATATTTGTCATTAGCTTAACATCCTGAATACCAACACACACACATATAGATATGACATATACATTTGTGCTCACAGATACACATAACTCCCACACTCATATATGTATTCACATGGCATACATGTGTGTTATTAGGAAATAACAATAACAATGCTTTATATTAATAAAGCCTTTTTCAACATGATGAAAGGGTAAAGAAGCAGGTTTCAATGTGTTTCTCATTATTTTTAAACGTCGTACAAGAGAACATAAACTCAAGAATTCAGAGAAATTCCACAAATAAAACTACTCAGATAGATTGTTTTTTAAAAAATAAAACTGATTTGAAATATCACTAGTCAAGTTATTAATATATCTGACTATGTTGAAGCATTTTTGGAACTACAATGAGAAAAATGTGCTTATGAGACTGACAATCCCTCTGCCAGCCAAGGTCACACCAAAGGATAATGAGGAGTGTCAGAATAGAACTTAAAAAGGATTTAAAGACTTTTGATTTTTATCTATATAAATTGTTCATTTAGTTAGAAAATCTTTTCCCATAATTGCTTCAATTGCAGCTGGATGAGGATTTCAAGATGTTCATTCCAAATTTGTGAACTGATGTTGTCCAAAATGATCACAGAATTTTAAAACTGGAATTGATCAGTAGTATTATCTGGTCCAGTGCCTTTGGTTGGCAGATGAGTTGATGTAAATTAATTATCTAAAAACTTTGTAGTTTAGAGAATGAAAAAAAGAGAGTCATTACTATTTCGAGAGAGGAAAGTGAGACATAAAGATATTAAATAAGTTAACAGTTTTGTCAGAACTTTTTACTAGCAGTCAGGACTAAAATTTAGTCCACAAATATGTCATTTAGGGTTTCTGCTATCCTATCTTATCTTGATACTGTTGATGGTTCTAAAGTGTCAGCTGGATGTGAAAATATATTAATTTAGCAAGAAAGAGATATATTTCTTGGACCTTTGGATAGCACATGCTATTGTCACGTCATGTTGACAGTAAAGGTGGAGTTCTGAATGTCACTGCTTGAAGAGTCTTGAGTTTTATTAAGCTGAACTCCAGAAAGAAAAGGACAGTGTCATTTCAGTATGATGTATTTTTAATGGACTTCATTTTAGTTGTAATATTTTGACTATGCAAAATAAAAAAAAAATTGTTACAAAATGTATTTATAGGAATAAGTATAGTTGCTAGCCACACTGATTAAAAAAATGTAATTACTCCGAATGGACTCTAAATAGCTTTCAACATTTCATTACAAAGCAATTACATCTGAGTCTTCCCAGAGCTCTCAGCATGGCTTTTAAAAAAGAAATTACACAAACAGGTGAAATCAACCATTATGAAATATAACCTATATTCCTAAAGAGTAAGGCTCCAGAGTGGAAGTGAAGTGGAATGATGTAGGGGAGGTTTAAGACAGGTGATAAACATGTTTTATTTTCAAGGTAACTTTCCTAAGAGAATTTAGCATGCTTACTCAAGATAAGTGTATTTTTTAAATGAAAACTATCTAAATTTTATAATGGTGTGAAGCAGCACAACATTCATGAGAGATTTTCTAAAAGTTAAGTTTTTTTTAAAAAAAATTAGACGTCTTAAAATCAAGATGTAACTGCATGTTCCTCTATATTTAGAAAGGTTATAAATGGTTAATCAACACTATTGAATGCTTACTCTGTGCCAGCCGCTGCTCTAAACACATTATGTATATCCTTCTAGCAATTCCAGGAGGTAGTTGTTACCATTATAACAACTCAGTTTTATAAATGGAGAAACAGACACAGAGAATCTAAGTAATTTGTTCAAGGTCAGCAACCATCAATGGAAGGTGAAGATTCAAACAGATAGTCTGATGCCTAAGTCCTTGATCTTAACTGCTTTTTATATGTTCTGCATTTACTAGTAAGAATCCTGTGTGCAGATCTGACACTTGTCTGGGGATTTAGAGGTGCAAAGAACGATGAGCTATTATCATAACAACTGGGCATAACTTTATAAAATATCATATTAATTTGTCTTTGGGGCTATGCTTTCAAAGATGGCTTAAAAAATGAAGACATCAGTAATCACATGGTACTAATAAATCATAACAACATATTTTAAGTAAGAGCTCCTAGTTAGGACCTAGGGTCTTCGGTGAATTCACAAACCCCTTGTGATAGCATGTCCCACTGGTTGAAGATGTGAGAATGTGCATCTGAGCATTTTTCTAGGGAAAATGTTTCTGTCTTCTGTTAGATTCTTAAAGGAATATATGGCTTAATGAATGTCTAGAGCAGGGATGGCCAGACATGTTTTTTATTTTAAAGGTCGAGATAAAAATATTTTAGGCTTTGTGGACCTTAGGATCTCTTTTGCAACCACTCAACTCTGCCGTTGCAGTGTGAAATCAGCTGCAGACAATTCATAAAGGAATGAATGTGGCAGTGTTCTAATACAACTTTATGAACATTTGAATATAAACTTTATATAATTTTTATGTTACACAAAAATATTATTGTTCCTTTGATTGTTTACCTTTGATTTGAATTATTAATAAATGTGTTTAAAAAGGCTTTCTTAGCTCAGCGATCATAAAGAGCAAGTAACACTCCAGATTTGGCTCATAGGTCATAATTTTTTAGCCCCTAGTTTAGAGCAAGTGATTCTTAGTGTAGAGTCATCCAGGGGATGATTGGATGATCCCCCATCCAGGGGATCATCTAGGAATTTTATGAAATGTAAATTATCAGGCCTCCCCGCAGATCTACTGAATCAGAAACTCCAGAAACAGGCCAAGCAGTCTGAGTTTTAGAAGTCTTCTAGGTGAAATTAGATCATACTAAAATATGAGAGCCACTGGTCTAGAGTCATGGCTCCAGACATTCAACTCACTCATTTCCTTCTTTCATTCTTGCAACAAATGATTTTTTTTAACTATTATTTTAAGAAATAGTTCAGGGGTACATGTGCAGGTTTAGTGATACAGATAAATTGTGTCATGGAGGTACCGTGTACAGATTATTTTTGTCACCCAGGTGAAACACACAGTCTCAGATAGGTAGTACTTACATCGCCTCCCTCCACTCTCAAGTAGGCTCTAGTGTCCAGTGTTCCTTTCTTTGGGTCCATGTGTACTCAGTGTTTAGCTCATACTCTTAAGTGCCATCATACAGTGCTTGGTTTTCTGTTCCTGTGTCTGTCAGTTTGCTTAGGATTATGACATCCAGCCTCATTCATGGTGCTGCAAAGGACACAGTCTCATTCTTTTTTTATGGCTGCATAGTGTTCCATGGTGTATACGGACCACATTTTCTTCATCCAGTCTACTGTTGATGGGCATTTAGGATGATTCCATGACTTTGCTGTTGTGAATAGTGCTGTCATGGACCTGCGTGTGCATCTTTATGGTAGAACAATTTATACTCTTCTGGCGTATACTTAATAACGGAATTGCTCAATCAAATAGTACTTCTCTTTTAAGTTCTTTGAGAAATTGCCACACTACTTTCCACAATGGCTATACTAATTTACATTTTCACCAACAATGCATAAGCATTCTCTTTTCCTCTGCAACCATGCCAACATCTGTTGTTTTTGACTTATTAATAACAGATTTTCTGACTGAAATGAGATATTCCAGTTTTGATTTGTATTTCTCTAATGATTAGTCATGTTGAGCCAAAAAATTATTTTTGAAGGGTTAATTATATTAGACTGGAAATACAGTGAAGTTTTTACTTTTTTTTGTCTTCATAGATGCAAGAATAATCAACTCATAAAACAGGAGTTGACAGCTTTCTGAAAATAACTTACTTTTTGAAATATATTTCATATATAATCACATGATGACCATATACATATACACACATATCTGAAACAAAATAATCACAAAGTCATATGTACTCTCAATACATGTGATGCACCCTGATATTATATTTTATTCTATTTCTAATGTATTCAACCTAATACATTGATTTTACACTTCCACTATGAGACCACAACTTATAGTTCAAAAGATACCACAATAAAATGTGCTCACCAGTGCAAATTCCTTGTTGAGAATCATCTGCTCTACTAAAGATGACTCATTGTGGAAGAGGTGGGGTTGCATGTGGCTCCACATGTGAGGAAACCACCAGAATTCATCCACAGACCGAAGTAAAAGGTCATCCCCTTCATCTTCCTCTTCAGTCCCTATAAAACATAAAGTTAAAATAGCTTTAGTAAAAATTTCTGACTAGCTTAAAGGCTATTTTTGTCACATTTATGTTATTTTTCATGCTCTTGGTACATATATCCAAGTCTGTGGACTTTTTAATCAGAAAAAAAGACCAAAGTCTAAATTGAATCAAAGGCAAGAAGACTTAGGATTAGGACGGGGTGGGCAGGCATGGCTAACCCCAGGTCAGACAGCTATTAATTTAAAATTTAAGAGTATTTTATAACCTTATATTTTAAGGATAAGAATTGAACATAAATTTTAACTCATAAAATTTGTTAATTTTTTTCTGATTACAGAAATAAAATACACTTACTAAAGAAATGTGGAAAGCACAGGCAAGTAATATACAAAGCCAAAAAAAAAAAAAAAACCACAAAAACAAAAACCAAAAACCTACAAGAGCATCTTCTAGAGCTAACCAGTGAAAACATGTTTGTATTATTTTCAAAAATCTTTTCCTACTTATATTTTAAAAGTTTATCTCTTGCTGTACTAATACTTTTGCACACTTACATTTTCACTTAATGTTATACATACCAAATTTCTCATTTTAAAATAAATATTTCATAAAAACTAAACAATGAATCTGATAACTCTTTCTAATATAAATGTGACCTGATAATTTAAAACTAGTATTTATTTCTCTTCTTCTTTTGGAGAATTTTTTTTAACATCACCCAATACATAGGAAATAAAAACCAAAAAAATATTGTTGTGCCATAGTTAAGAAAAAAAAACAACTTACTTCTAAGGGAAGTAATTATATTGCAGCTACCCAACAATATCCACAAATGAAATGATAAGGTTTTTGGTATGATTTTGTATAATTTTACTATATTCAGCTCAATTTACAAATGTTGTGAATCAATAATGTAAGAATTAATTCCTGCTTGCTCACTTACTACTTAACTATATAAATAAAGTAAAACAGTAAGTCCTGGCTTATAGTGTGGGGTGTATTATTTGGTTTATTCTTTCATAAAGTAGTATGTTTTACAGATGGGTGTTTGATTTTTTAATTATTTTTACTTAAATTCAGGGAATAAATATTAACAACTGTTATAAGAGTTTCCTCTGAATGTTCCATTTGTGTGTCCTAAAACAAACATATCCATGGTCATGAAAGTAGCACCATGAAAGGATTAAATCATGTATTTGACGTCATTCAGTACCTGGAGAAGAGTTCCTAGTTTTGCCACTTAACTAACTATGTGATCTTGGACAAGTTGACTTCTCCGGGTCTTAGGTTTAAAATGGGATTATAAATACCTATTTTACAAGGTCTTAGCAAAGAGTCAATGAGATCAATTTATTAAAGCACTTAATATTGTGACTTACAAACAGTAAGCACTTTTGAATATTAGGATCTCCTTAAAAATTCTATTGCTTTATGCTTGCTGTGTTTTGAATTTAAATGTATTCACACATTTTAGAAACTTTTCCTGCCTAGATTATAAAGTCAAGGACTGGATTCCTTTACCCTTTACTGTAATATGCCATTTCCCCAGAGCAGTGAATAAATGAATAGTTTAATTTAGTCTAAATTTAACAAAGTCAGTGGATTCAGCAGCTTAACATGGCCACTGAAGTACATGGCAATTTCTTTCTTTTATGTATATTCATTTTTCCTGGAATACAGTTCACAATTCACAGTCTTCTAAAGTTGTGAGGACCTTCAGATTTAATTAAGGTTTTGGCACCATCAATGCTACTACAGAGTAAAGAAATTTCTGTTTCTGTTAGAAATTTTGGAAAGTGATAAAGTCCTATAATTAAGATGAACAGAAGAATTCTTAATTTTTGTTGTTAGCTAACACTATTAGTATTACAGATGCGTAATTCATTGACTTTTGTTAATATATTAAGAATATGGAATCTTAAAATTCAAATGAAGAAGAGTTTATCACTCCTTCAGATGAAGTGTTTATATTACCAATGTTTCTCATGGTTATAGTTTAGCAAATTGAGGCAAAGATTAGAAAGAGTTACTTTATGTCACACATGATGAAGGTATTGATAGTTCTCCCACACTCCTGAAATTATCTTGTGTTTTGAATACAGAGTGTTTGAAAAATGTTTCCATTCATTTTAAATTCTGCCGATCATTATTTCAAGTGCCAGGAAGCACATAATGCACACTTGACCAGGTAGAAGGTCAATTATTCAATTTAAAGAAAACTTTGTGGACTATTGATAGAAAGAGATGCATGACCGATCATAATATCTTAGCAATTTTTATAGTAGAGACTATGTTAATGTATAAACAGCCTCAAAAATGCAGCTAGTACATTAAAATCTTTCTTTGCTTGCATCATGGATTAATTTCTGTCAGCTTTTCTCTTATTTTATGCTGGTCATATAATTGAAAGCCACACGAGGCAAACTTTTGACATTGGAAACAGCTTAATAAAAAATAAGATACTAAGCCATTCTGAAGACAGCAGCAGAATCTCAAATGATTTTAACTCCAACTAGATGAAAGTATTACATTTTGTGCTTTCTATAAACACATGTTTTCCTATATCTAATATATACTTAAATTATATATGGAAATATCATTTGTAATTTATATGTGACCAGATTAGCACAAGTAACAGATCATTAAAATATCTGTCCTCAAATTAAACCTTGCACTTTGAATCTGATCTAGATCCTGGTCTAGATAATTATGAATGAAAAAAAATACATTTTACTTTTATTTAAGACTTTTTTTTTTACATTTCCTGATTATCAATGAATAAAAATATTTTAATTCAGAAGTAAAATACATGAAGAGTTTGTTTCCCAGGTTAATTTCTTTAAAAGTACAGTTATTGCATTAAAATAAGATACTCTGTATATATATATATATGTGTGTGTGTGTGTGTGTGTGTGTGTGTATAAAATTTCAGTGTCTGTATTTTCTCTTTTGTAAAAATTTCTACCTTATATTTGTGTAATTTGTGTAAAATATTATAATTTCTAAATGTTAAAGATATTTCCTAATTTTCCTTGTACATTGAACCTGGCATGGTTCCATATATGTGGGCATAGAATAAACTACTTTAAATATTATATTAAATATAAAGAACTGTGGGATGATAAACATTGACTAAAAGCGCCCCACAGTTTAAAATTAGAAAATAGTGCCATATGAATTGTCTACTATTTGCTTTTTGATAACATTTGAATGTCATATGAAAATAATTTTAAAATTAATAATAAAGATTTACATAGCACTTGTAATATGTTAGGCATTGCTCCTTAATAAAAGAGATATTATTATTCCCATTTTGTAGATATATAAACTGAGGCACAGAAAATTTAAGTAAACTGTGTTCACATAGCTGGCCAAATGTCAGAGTCTGGATTTGAACACAAAGTTTGTTACCAGTATCTAGTCTTTTAACTTATACTCTACACAAAAAAATTTAAAAACAAAAAATCACAAAAGGGGAACGAATGTAACACTTTTCATACTGTCATGCTTGAATATTAATGATTTTACAGAAAATGCTAATTTTTTTGATAAAATAATCTCTCATGGAAAAGACCAAATTAAATGTTAATTCAATTTGCAAAACACTATTCATGAATTAATTATTGATTGAGTCATATTTAATTTTAATGATTGTCACCAGAAATCATGTCCCTCGCAAAATATAGTGGGCAGCTCCTCTCTCAAAGAAAACGTCTGAAGACTATAATGTCTCCATTTTTCAACTGAGTTTTGTTATGCAATTCCATTCAAGCTCTAAATATTTTCAGACTCTGCTATTTCATTCTAAACTCCATGCTTTTATTTTATTTATTTATTTTTTGCCTTTTAATCAGCACTCTATCCTTCCTCTTTCAATATGGCACCTGTGGGTGAATGACTTTAGGAAAAGCTTAGTGACATGCCCTTTTGGGGTGAGATTGTTTTTAGCATGTGAAGGACAGAGAAACTGAACGGGAAGGAATACACAAGAAATAAAAATAAGTGAAGCAGTCTAAAAAGGCAGAATGAGTCATTATTACACTGGGCATATGTGATTAAATGTCTTCAAAACAATGAGGCGCATCCATAAGCATCTTCATGCATTGGGAAATCAGATCATTCTGGAAGAGAACTGAGATAGTCAATCCAGTCCAACAAGGCCGTTTCCTATGGTTACACAACACAGCCAAGTGCACATGTAAGGAATGCACCTCCTTGATTTGCAATCTTTTTTTTATGATGTGAAATCTTTGGATACAAATGTGACAAGATAGGAGTGAAACACATCTTTCTAATATCTGAAAGGGTATCACTGTTATGTAACTCAGTGCCAGAAGAAAGTTTGATATGCCTGAGTGCATTAATAAGTATTCAATATAATTACAATGGCACGTTATAGGTGCATTTCAGGGAGCCAACAAATAAAGTAAATATATCAATTAAATAAAATTTACATATTGATGTGAAAGAAATCAAACTTTCAAAATTTATAAATTTATAAATATTGCTTATTCTCTAAAGTATGTTATCACACAGTATTACAATGCAAACTATTCTATTATTTTTGTAATATTGGTTTCAACATAAAAAGTCAATAATGTCTTTTTAAAAAAATATAATGAAAGTACATCTTTCTTTTTTGCTTTCTTTCTTCAATAACTATTTCTGTGATACTGACTGGTGTGCTGTTCATTTCCCAGTGGTTGTGTACTGCATGTATGTTCAGTGTTTTAAAGAAGAAAAGGGAATTGTTATAATCTCTATCAACATTAACTTTGCAAATGTTTAGCAGGTTTAATAGGTCTGAATATGAAAAGTAAATAAAAACTGAGGCAGTTATCCAGATATATTTCAGCCAAAAGAATGACTTTACTTACAATATACAGCTATTTAAAACAAAATAATATTGTTTGTGTGTGAACTACAAATAATCCCATAATTTTTCCCTCTGCATGAGTAGATACAGCCTTTAAAGCTATCTGCTTTATAACTTCATAGTCAGAGCTTCTTAGGTCTGAAATCATTTATTGAAGGGGCTTTTGAAAAAGATTTACAAAACCATGTCTATTTTCAAAATTGGAAGCTGAAATTGCTTTGCCTGCGCAGATATGATGACCCAAATCTCTTTCTGCAAAATATCCTTTTAAAATATGCGATCATTTGATTTATTAACTGGTCTACATACTAATTTTCTTTCTATTACTTTAAGCAGATTTACATGTTTCAAAGCAGGAGATAAAAAGTATCTCAAGAAAAAGCCAAGGAAACATTACTATTTCAATATTCTAGTAAATCATATTGAGCTTTTACATTAAAAAGTCCTCATTGAATAAAGATATTTATGAAAACTAAAGACTACCTTTAAACAGAATATTTTAATGGATCAATAAATTGCATACATGCATAGAGAATAAATGCTGTGAAATGTTTTCACTAAGATGCTGTGAACCAACAACAGTGAGAAGTTTTAAACAAAGTGTTTAGTTCACAGCAGATACACAAATAGAAGCAGACTACAGGTATTCCCCTAATACAGGCCCCAACACATAGTTCAGTACTCTTTTTGTCAAAGACTATCAATTTTATTAACATAGACTTCTCTAAAATGGTTCCAGTTATTTCAATGCTAATATTCAGAAAACAAAAGTCAACATTTGGAGATGGGGGTAAATAAAAAAGTATGGAATATCAGAACACAGTAGCACAAGAATAACAATCACATTTTGAGAATTTGTTGAGAGGCTGAGACTAAACAGAAGTACAATTGTGGGTGGATAGAAATGGAAAGAAATACAAGTCTGATTGTGATAATTTTAATCTATGTGGGGCTAAATTAGTGGTAATTATTTTTTATTTTTTAGGGAAAAAAATCCTGCAATGGAAGGTAAACTAACAAGATGACTCTTAAGAGTATATTATATTTCATTGAGGCCATAAAGTTTCTCTCTAACATCAGATGGTTTCCAAAGGAAAATAGCAGGTACAAAAGTATCTATCACATCAACTATTTGACAATTTAAAAATTCTGTCAATTATTATTATTAGTATTTTCATCATCATCACCACCATTGCTATGCCTTCTACCCATACTGTACTGAGAAACAAGATCCACAGTCATACTCAGAACAGTGGTTATGCTTTCTATTTTAAAAAAAATGAATTTAAAAAGTCAATTCTCTTCCTCTTTTGCCATTGATTTTAACAGTATTTACCAAAGTAAATATGCTCATTGATTTTGGATTTGGCTATTCGAATAACGTGCCCAAGTTTTTCTCATAATCAATCTTGAGAATCTATTTCTACTACTAATGGATCATTCAAAATTTTATTTCCTATTTATATGTAGCTGCCTGAGAACACAAAGCTCCTTACCTGTGTGGTAAAACTTCCCTGAAAATCCAAGGTTGAAGGTAAAATTTGCAACCTGAGTGCGCAGTAAATTTTGAGTCTCTAGTAATGCCTGAAATAAATAAGAAATTGACATGATTTTAGAAAAATAAATATGAAGTTTTGGGATGCCTCTTTTGCAAAGGTGTATGCATGAGTAAAACAAAATGATATGAGTTTTCTTGTTTTTGACTGGTACTGTTATGCAGTATTCATATTGCAGGTATTATAATTATTGTCATTATTTTTATTGAAGGTCAGCATATTATGAAACAGTCAAGTCCTTAGCACAGTATGCATTGCTCAGTGGCAACTGTCCAACTCCACAGCACTGAAATCATTTTTAATTTCCGTGTGAGACATTTCTTGGATTTTGGATTATTATACCTCCTTTATGTGTTGAAAATTTTTTAGAATTGTTGGATGTAGACAAGCCCTGTTTTCTTGGGGAGCAATAGGAGCAGAACTTCTGTTTGAACTGCAATTTATGATTTTATTTAACTGGGCTACCTCCTTCATCATTTTTAAAGGCATAATTATTAAATTGAAAGCTTGAGTTTGTACCTTACAAACTAAAGAGCAATGTATATTTTATAGGACATTGCTTGCAAACTTAGTAATGAAAAAGGAAAGAACATGTAAAAATAGATATCTCTTTTTGTTACTAATTTCATAACAGAAATTCTCTAAATGTGACAAACATTTCCCTAGTTTCTAGATTTGGAATTATACAATGTTAAAGTCTGGTTTGTGGACAGGATAATAGCAAACTGATGATAATGACACAGAATTAGTCATGTAAATGTGTTGCCAGTCCTTTCGCCGCCATTATTCCTATGCCAACACGTACAGCATAATTCAGAACTCTTATATCCTGGTCTGCGTATTGATTCAGAATGCTTTTTCTATTTTTAATGAATTTTTAAGGAGGACATTTTGTACTGATTAGAATCAGAAGGTAATTTCAAACAAGAGATATTAATAAGACTGATTTTTGATTACTCCTATCCATCTGTTAAGGGGACTAAGGAGTCAGAGGTTTAGACAATTTTTTTATGAGTCTTGGTAGCTAAGCATTTGCTTCAAAGACTTGAGAACCTATTTATTCCTTTACAGTGAAAGGAGTCTCCTGATTAAACAAAAGATAAATCACTAAGTAACTAAATTCTGATAAAATATAAAGTCAGTGGTTAGCCAAGACCACGATTAGACTGGGTGTCATCATGTTCAATCTTATTAAATATTATCAACTAAGTAGACAAAGGCAAAAATAGAACCATTAGCTTAACTCAGATCTACAAAATATTAAAATACATTTCTCAGAGAGATTAAGCTAAATACTAAAAACAGTCGAGTTTAAAATTCCGTTGAATTAGTTGAGCATATTGGGAAATGCTCTGGAATATAGCCTTGCTGACAGCCTGGAAGGAAGCTAAGCATTCCTTTTTTTTTTTTTTTTTTTTTTTTTTTTTTTTTAAAGACAGGGTTTCACCATGTTGGTCAGGCTGGTCTTGAACTCCTGACCTCAGGCTATTCGCTTGCCTCGGCCTCTTAAAATGCTGAGATTACAGGCGTGAGCCACCACGCCCAGCCTGAATACAGCCTTAAAAAAAAGAACATTATACATTATTTCCCTTAGTTAGTTTTCTTTTCTGGCTTTTTTTTTTTGGCTGTATTCCATGTGCAATTTCTGAGTCTCCTTATCCTGAGTTTTTAAAAAATATATCCTGTCTGCTATTCTCCTCACCACTCCAATTTCATCCACTTAGCTTTCTTCCTCTGAGTTCTTGAAGTCATTCAGTATTCTGCATTTATTTGTCTGTGAAATGGGGTACTTTTGAATATTTATTTTATACTACTATTATGAGAGTTACACTGGATAGACATGCAACATGTTCAGCTAAGTGTCTGGCAAATAGCATGAGCTCAATAAATACTGTTATTGATCCCTGAGTCTATCATTCTCTCTCCATCAGTTAGGTATCCTTGGTGCCTCCAACACACATTTCTATTTCTCCCAAATCACCATGTACTCTGCTTAAACTTAAGTACCCCCCACCTCCTACATTTCCCCATGCCATCTCTCTCTCTGTTATTTTTGCCTAGAAAGCCTCTCCAGCTCCCAATCCCATTTCCCAAATCCCACACATTCTTTATATCTCTGCCCAAATCCCAACTTTTTGTATAAAAGCTTCCTCTGGCATGTCAAAGTAGATTCCTAAATTATTTTCTTAAGACTTGCATTGTTTTTGACTTTATTGCATCCATGCTGTATCTTATGTTTTCCTCTACTCTCTGCACCTGAAGGTCATACAAAATGATTCAAACTAAAAAAATGCCAGATATAAATTTAAAGGAGAAAAGTGCTAAACCATGCAAATTAAAGAAGAAAAGTAGAAAAAAAGGAATTTAAATATAGGGAAAACTAAATAAAAACAACATTTAGTAACGAGATACATAAAAATGAGTAAGGTTTGATGTATTTAAAATACGATAGAATTCATAATGATACACAGCAATAAATTGAATTAGCTTCATTTATTTTTCATTTTTATCACTAACATTTTCTCGAATGGTAATATGATAAACATAGTTCTTGGGCCATACCACAAGATGATATCAAACAATACAGATAGGATCGAGCATTTCACCAGGATGTTTTATAACACAGATTTTTATAGCCTTGTGTCATAGCTCTCCAAAGCAAATTCAGAGAGGCAAAAGTAGGCGGATATACTTCCACTGTGGCTAATTAGCCATAGGAAGAACTTGACAGCCCTTTTCACTGTTGAAAAAAAAAAATAGAGTTGTCTTCACAGCCTCCTAACATGTAGGCTGGGTTAATGAGGGAATAAAAATTATAAATGCTATAAGTAAAAACAAAACAAATGAAAAAAAAAAAAAAGCAAATCCGAAGAAGTTTTTAAGGCTTCCTTGTTTAGTACAAGTAAATGTTTTTTGGTTTTCAAACTTCGAAGAAGTTTTCATGTCTTTCAATGACAAAAGAAGAGAGAAACAAATATCAAAGAATACATACAAAATGATTCAAACTAAAAAAAAAATCAGAAATAAATTTAAAAGAGAAAAATGGAAAGCCATACAAATTAAAGAAGAAAAGTTGGAAAAAGAAAGAATTCTAATATAGTAAAAATTTATAATGTCAGAAGAAATATTAGGGTAAGGATAATATTTAACAAAAATTTAAGAATAAATTAAGTACAAAGTTATCTTATTCTTTTAAAACCCCTTATTTTGGAAAAACTTATTAATGGGCCAGAAATAGAATGTCTGAATTTGGGATAAAAATAAAATAGTAAAGCCTAGGATATAGCAGGGAGCTGTAAATACAGTTTTTTCTCCCTGAATATTTTGTGTGGAAACTAACTTTTGAATATACATGATAAAATGTGGCCAGGTTCAATGGCTCATGCCTGTAATCCCTGTACTTTAGGATGCTGAGGCAGGTTGATCACTTGAGGTCAGGAGTTCAAGACCAGCTTGGCCAATATGGTGAAACCCCGTCTCTACCAACAAATACAAAAATTGTCTGGGTGTGGTGGTTCATGCATGTAATCCCAGCTACTGGGGAGGCTGAGACAGGAGAATTGCTTAAACTCTGGAGGAGGAGGTTGCAGTGAACTGAGATTGCACCCTACCATTCCAACCTGGGCTACAAGAGTGAATCTTCATCTCAAAAAACAAATAAATAATAAATAAAATAAAATAAAAATGTGTTTAGAGTTTTGACAATAAACATTATTTGTGAGTCATGAGAAACAATATACATGGCTTTGAAATATTTCCTTTTACTGTTTGTGAAGAACTCACTAAGTAACTTGATTGTATATTAAAGAGAATAAATGTATAACTTATTTATAAAAAGCAATAATTCCTGATTTTAATAAATATTACTTGCATTAATTCAATATTTTCTTAATAAATTCCTTACTATTTAAGCAAGCAAGTCCAGGCTAGGTGAGGTTGGCTCAGATCTATATTACTAGCACTTTGGGAGGCTGAGTTGGGAGGATGGCTTGAGCTCAGGAGTCAAAACCAGCCTGGGGAACATGGTGAAGCCCCTTCTCTACAAAAAAATATAAAAATTAGCCTGACCTGGTGGTGTGTGCAATGTGCCTGTAGTCTTGACTACTTGCAGGGCTGAAGTAAGAGGATTGCTTTTGCCTAGGTGGTTGAGGCTCCAATGAGCCATGCTCATGCCACTCTACCCTGGCTGACAAAGTGAGAGGAAGGAAGAAAAGAAGGAAGGAAGGAGGGAGGGATGGAGAGGGGAGGATCGGAAGGAGGGAGGGAAGAAGGAATAAAGAAAGGAAGGAAGGAAGGAAGGAAGGAAGGAAGGGAGGAAGGAAGAGAGTTCAATTTTGCCCCGTATAGCTACATACTATTTGATAAAGGCAGCAATGGCATTCATAATTTGTGTTTACGATTTTCTGGAGAAAACTGCTAAAATTGTCAATTCAGGGGCCCTCTTTAGGTGATACTACTGATTTTGTCTGCTGTAATGCCTAGAAATGTGCGTTTCGTCATAGACTCCAGCTGGTTCTAATAAATGTCAAGCAATTATTTTCGAGTTGCCACATGAAAGGAATTACCAACATGCTTGTAAAATATCTACTCTCAGGTTTATCCTCTGGGGATTCTGAATTGGAAACAATAAAAATGAAAACTAAAAATCTGTTTTTAACCATGATTTTAATGTCCAACTTCAACTTGGACATTGGTGCCATTAGGACACTAGTGTTCTAATAAAACTAAGTAATTATTTACATTAATTTCAAGGTGTTATGCATATATCTTACACCATTATCATAGTAGGTTGTTACTATCCAGATAACCCTTTCCCTAAGTGTACTTAATAAATCATGTGCATACTTTTATTTTGATATAGTCTTTGATATGGTTTGGTTCTGTGTCACAACCCAAATCTCATGTCAGACTGTAATCTCCACATGTTGAAGGTGCATCCTGGTGGGAGGTAATTGGATGATGAGGGTGGATTCTAATGGTTTAGCACCATCTCCCTAGTGCTGTCTCATGATAGAATTCTCACAAGAT